TAATACGAAAAGAAGTGGGTTGACCTCGTTTTTGCTACTTCTTCTTGTTGTCAAGGTGACTTAGTCGAACACGCATTGTCTGACAATGTACCAAGTCCACGATATGATGCTGGGAATTATGATACCTACTATGGCAGATGACATCGGACAATGTGCTTTCAACTAAGTCGCCCTGACAACAAGACCAAGTTGCGAAAACCAGGTCAAACCACTGCTGCGAACATACCGACGGCCACACCATGTTGATCTTCATATCTTCGGTATATCAAGTCAGTCGGTGCATCATAAACCAATCAGAAGGTGGAGCATTTCAGTCAATTAATTTGGCATTAATTAGTCTAAAACGAAGCCAATTTAAGGCAAAGTACCAGCTCTCGGCTGAGGAATACGCCTGCACTCCTATTCATCGTCATCACTTCAACATGACTCTGAGGAAGTGATGGTGTCTGTCGGTCGACAACACCAACTGCATCGGACAAGAAGATACATTTCACATAAACTCACCATGTCCAATGGCTTGTCCAACTACTCGAAGCATGTACGCTTACAGGACGCCACAGGCGAGGCGCATGGTACAGCCACATATCAAGCGCGATGAGCGTGAACAGGTAGGCATGGCGACACAAAAGAAGCCATACAAAATGGCTGGGGAAGGGTGAAGACGACCGGTTGAGTTGGCGGTGTGAATGGTGGAGAAAAACTGACAGACACACACAAGTGAGCAGAAGAGACAGGCTAGCCAGATTGCTTTGATGCGCTTTCACACTACTGTACATAGTCTATGCATAAGCATGATATGAATCGCGGTTCGAGAGGTCTTGTTCACGGGACCAGTTGGAGTTAGTACCCGCCAAGGGGGCCTTGACACTCGGAATGAGAATGGCGCTTGGTGAATTGGTGCAAAAATCGGGTTTTAGTGAGGTTAGCTGAAGATTCACCAGGAGTTAGTGTGTATTTGTATGTGTGTGTGTGTGTGTGAAAAAGAAAGAAAGAGAGAGAGAGCAAGAAGAAAAGAAAGAAAGAGAAAGAGAAAGAGAGAGAGAGAGAGAGAAAATGAAATGGTTAGCCGGCAAGCCTAGTCGGAGTGGCCAACCTCAAAGGCAGCCGGTGGGCAGACCGAGACGCTGGCCGGGCCCTGGACTGAGTAGCGTGTCGTGGTGGCAGCAGGGACGGACTCAGAGAGGACGGGAGACATTCGACTCAAGCTCGCTTGCTGCGATCGCGATGGCAACAGAGAGCCGGCGAACCATTGGCCCACGTCGGCCACGGGGCCAGACGACGTTGTCGAGGTAAACGCCAACTGTGATGTCACCTTCGACATTGCTGTTGGTGTCGGTGTTGGTGTAGTCATGGTGTTGGGTCGGTGTCTGGTGTGTCGGTGGGTCGGATCGCCAGTCGACAATGTTGGTAGGGTCGTCGTCCGAGGGACCGAGTGGGCTGGCGATGGGGCAACGGTTGTGGAGAGGTCAAAACTGTTCAAAGTGCCCTCACCGCTGACGGACGGCTTGACCAGATCCGGTGGCCGGGCCGATTCTACACGCCAGGCGTCCTGGAGGGAGTAGGCAGGCAAGCCGGAGAAGGGCAAGAAGCAAAAATGATGAGACCAAAGTAGAAGAGGCTGTAGATGGATTTGATGACGATAGATAGACAGGCATAAACTTGGAAGACATCATCACTCGAGCCTCAACCCAATGGTTAAGGGTGGATTACTAATTGGCCACAACAAAACGTATCGAATTTCAGGCAGGATTCGGAGGCGTCGAGGTCAAATGCACTTTGGCTTCATCAAAGAATAACCAGTGGCTTTCCAAGGGGTAGAAGACAGACTAAGAACTGCGCCAGCAAGTTTTCACATAAACAATTAACTCAGAGTTGATGATATAGACAAGGAGGAGTCTGCAATCCAATCTTGAGTAGAAAGGACGTTCACAAAATGATATCCTATCCACTGGATCTGCCGATAAAGTACAGCTAAGTTGCTAAATTTCTGATGAGGACAGTCATGTAACTAGGCGAACAATTATATTACACACACACACACATGATGTTGTGCAAGATAGTAGTAAGAAAACCAATAAATATAATATATGAAGATATCGTTGATCAAATATGCAAAAGAGTAGCATAAATTCTTCTACCGCATACAATGCTTCACAGCAATCAGCAAAGCTTAAAGAGAACTTTTAGTCACTCTGGGTGGCACAAGGTGATGAAAGACCAAAGTTATATGAGTGGGGCTCAGGCTTCCATCGGATTTCGCACAGCCTTGCCTCCAAAAGGGTATTCTCAACCCGATTCGATTGGACTGGACTGTGGTTTCGACCTCGCCTGAACTGGTCTCATCAGCCTACCCAGCAGGACTCGAACCTGGTCAGTGCCATACAGCCACAAGTGCGCCCTGGTGACAGAAAATTGGTGAAAAACTCACAAAAAATAGGTTGCGATACTATCCATGAGTGGTATTCAGCCTATTTCGTTAAGGGGATGAAGGACTGGTAGTTGAATTTTCCCACAGTGATATGAATATACCTGACGTTTCCATTGAAGTTCACACAGCCTTGCTTCCCAAAAGGTAACCCCATCCAGCCAGAAGTGGACTGCGATTTCGACCTCGCACAGGTCTTTTCAACACCCCCAGCAGGAGTCGAACCATGACAGTGCAACGCGTAAGCTCGACACGTGAACCACCACGCCACATTGCCACGAGTGCCCTTGGGTCACAGGGCAGATGTGAATTTCAACGAATGTCAGGCATTTTCCGTATCACATTCTGTGTTCGGATTGTCGATAAAGTTAACTTATACTTGCTATGGCAATCGACGACATCACTTAGACAAGTGGAATGTAAACAAATGAGAAGTTGTGATAGGGCGGGAGTGGGATAAGAGGGTAAAGAGTGGATGGATAGGCCAGGACATAAACCGTTTTCGGCAGAACGTTTGTCGAGGGATTGACTTCAATTGTCTCTTTGACGAGTTCGTAGCGTGGTGCGAAGAATGGCAAAACTCACTGATTATGCCAAAGAAACGTTTGAGAATGTACCAAATGCACTGTCTGATGCTGGGAGTCA